AAATACATTTTGTTTTTTCCGTTGACAAAAAATTTAGTTGTCAAAATTTTCTACGGGCATTTTGGCGAGTCCGACTCTGACATTATTGTGCAAGCGACGTATAAAAAATGGGCTGCAAAAATTAGGAAAAAAACTTCTGTACTTGCCATAATAATAATTATTAGAAAATGAATTTGATATTTTTTTATAATTTTTATATGTATTTTGCTATTTTTTTATTTTGAAAGGTTTTTTATTGTTTTTGTTAGTAAATGTTCTGTTGACGTTTGGTGTCAAACATTATAAATATCCTATCTGTACCTGCAGTTCCATTTTCGTGGAATTTAATAAAAAGTTAAAAAGATACAGCTAGTTTTTGAATTTTTATTTTATTAACTTCCCATAGGGCAAGTTATAGTAATCGCAAAAAAATCGAAAATGAAAATTTTTGCATTTCTCGACGTTCAAAGGTTTCTGAACATTTTGGCATACCTCAGAAAAAATAGATGTGTGTGTGTGTGTTTTGTGTGTACACATTTTTCGTCTACGTTTTCGGACTCACGGATCGACCGATTTAAATGGCTCAAAAAACATTCGATTTCAATTGATAGGGAGAGGTGCTGATTAGTTTTTGGCAAAGGCAGGTCCAGCCGTTTCCGATATATGGAGCAAAGAGTGCAGAAAATACAAATCGAATTTTTGAGAGAACGGAGTATCACATTTGAATGATTTAAAAAATATTAAATTAGTAATGATTGGGAGAATAGGTGATTAGTTTTTGGCAAAGACAGGTCTCGCCATTTCGAAGATATAGAGCTAAATGTGCAAAAAATGACAGTTTTTGGGTGAACTAAGCGTCCGATTTGAATGATTCAAAAACTTTCTGCTTGTATTGACAAAACAATTGCTTTTGAGGATAAAAAATTATTACATCTTTTTTTAGTTTCCATAAAATATTTTTGTAATTTTGGATTTAAAATTGAAAAAAATACCCAGTCTAAGCACAGTCTAAGCGCCACTCTGGTACAAATGTTTACCCAAGTGCGTTTAGACTGTTTATGTACTGGAGCACTTTTCCAACTCGAATTTTGTGAAAACTATTCAAAAATGTGAAAATGCCGCCAAGCTGAGCACAGTATAAGTGAAAATGTCGTACAGAATTATGCGACAAATGCGTTTAGACTGTGACTATACGGGAGCACTTTTTCAATTTTGTGCAAATTTAGCTACTAGTTTTTTTTTTTGAAATTGAATTCGGAATGAAATAACGATTGTTAATATTTTTGGAGATAAATTGATTTATGATTTTCATTTGATTTGCTCAGATATAACAAAAAGATAGAAAAAAATAATGAAAGGTACAGTATTTGTAATAATATATTTGAAATCGTCTAAAATTTCTCGAATATTTCGTTACGGTACGGTTATAGTAATCGCAAAAAAATCGAAAATGAAAATTTTTATATATCTTTACGTTTCAGAGGTTTCTGAACATTTTGGCATACCTTAGAAAAAATGGATGTATGTGTGTGTGTGTGTGTGTGTGTGTGCGTGTGTGTATGTATGTGCGATACAAATTTTCGTCGACGATTTCGGAAACACGGATCAACCGATTTGAATAATTCAAAAAGCATTCGATTCGTATTGATAAGGAGACGTGCTGATTAGTTTTTGGCGAAGGCAGGTCTAAGCCGTTCCGGAGATACAGGGCAAAAAGTGCCGAAAACGGTAATTCAGTTTTTAGGAGAACGGAGCGTCCGATTTTAATAATTCAAAAAACATTTTACTTGTATTGACAAGGTAAAGAATTGATCAAATTTTCATAAAGGCAGATCTAGCGGTTTCGGAGATCTAACGAAAAAAGTAGAAAAAATGCCATTTGGCGGTCAAAAATGATCATTAGACATATGCACATCAAATTTGCAGATATTTTATAGAGATTTTAACAATAAGTATAAATTTGTTTATTTTCCTATGGGTTCCGTATCAATGTTTACCATTAGATAGCGACGACGCGCGCGCTTACGCGCTTATATTTTGTCTCTATGCAGTTAAAGCAGCACGATTGCTTTGAAAAACAAGTTCAAATCTTCCAAAATATGTCAAAATAAAGAAAACATTTTTTTTTTCAAAAAAAATTTAAAAAAAAAATTTTTTTTTTAAAAAAATTAAAAAAAAAATTTTTTTTTTCAAAAAAAGTAATTTTTTGTCCAATTTATAGTTTCTCAATTTCTCAAATCGTTAAAATAATAATTTTTGGTACGGGAAGTTCCAGCAATTTGCCTTAAGGCACGATGCCCTAATTGCCTTAAGACAGAATTCCACTTACAGCTAGTTTTTATTTATTTTCAGTATTGGCTCCATTGAAAAAAAAAAACAATATTTGCTGTTTAATTTATTTCTTGGACTAATACAAGAACACTGTTGGCCTTTTTTTAGGATTTTAGAGAGATTTGACTTTCTGTTAACCGTAATTAATATTTGACAAAAAATCTACTTACTACAAAAAAACGGCGTGGCCGATCATCGCAAAAACTTACAATTGCTTTCCTTATCGAGTTCCATCAAAGGGATTTTAAAATTGTGAAGGTCAGAAACCAGGTACAGCATGTACACACATATACTCGTACACACACAAATACTTTCGTCAAATTTGGTCTCAAACTCTTGAGATAATTTGAAACGTCGAGATAAACATAAGAGTAGTAAATCTGAATTTCTGGCAAAAACAAAGATTTACTTCGGGGTATTAAAAAAATTGTTTTGCTAGACGTCGACTGAAGGTCAACTTTTGGCACACACTCATACTTATTCCAATTCCGGTATCAAACGATTCAGAATGACTTCGAAACATGAAGTTAGCAAATCGAATTTTCTGGCAAAGAACCTCTCGCTATTATTCATTGTCTATTATTATTTGATCCTCGTGTCAGTGTCAGTGTCAGTGTTCTCGTTTCGCCTTTCGTCTGTTCATCGAGAATTTGCAAAATAATCGGTCGTATCGAGTCAGTAATTGCTCCGGCAATCCGTTCCTCAGAGTGGAGACATTTAAATCACTGTAATCCCCAATGTGGGGCCCTCATTGTCCCATCAGAGAGACTCCGGAGACGACGATTTTGCACTCGGCAGGTCTGCAATTTCCACGTCCGACGAATTGACAATCAAATGTCTTCGGACAAACAAACAACGGACTATTTAGTTATTTAGTTGGTTATTTGCAGGAGAGAGGATTGAGGAAAGGTCACGAGGAATCGATCGATGGAGATGTTGACTGAGGGACGAGGACTATTGGCGAGTAGCATTAATCGAAAGTGATTGTTGAATACCATAAATATTTGTTGTGGATAGCTATTTTAGATTATTATTTTAACTTCCCGAAGGAGAAGTTTATGTATTCATAAAAAAATCCGATTCGCTAATTTTATGTTTTCTCGACGGTTCAAGCCATTCTGAATCGAATGAGACCAACTTTGGAAAAAGTATGTGTGTGTGTGTGCGTGTACAGATTTTTTGCCGTAAATCGATGTTTTCTCAAAAACGGCTGAACCGATTTCAAAAACTTAAAAGCCATTCAAAGTATCGCGATGAGGACTATTGTTTCTCAGTTTTGTGCGGCTATCGGCCAAGCCGTTTCTTTGTAAATCGCCGAAAAGTGAAAAAGTTTTCGTCTACGTTTTAGCCTGCAATTCTAAATCGATTTTAAAATTCAAATAATGTTCAAAAAATATTAGTTGGGAATCGACCTGATTAGTTTTTGGTAAAGATACGCAAGCAAAAGTTCTTGTAATTAACTGTTTTTATTGTTTTAATTTTTTTGTCGATATTTGTTTTGCCGAAGTATATCATGGTCTTCTAAATCATATTAAAACTAGTGGTGTATGGCATCGTGCCTTAAGGCAACTTTCCTATTGTAATGAAATATTCGAGAAATTTTAAACGTTTTCAAATATATTATTACATATAGTGTAACTTTTATTATTTCTGCTATCTTGTTATAATATCTGAGCAAATCAAATGTAAATTATAAATAAATCAATTTATCTCCAGAACATTAGCAATCGTCATTTCATTTCGAATTCAATTTCAAAAAAATAGTTGCCTAATTAATTTACACAAAATTGAAAATGTGCTCCCGTATAGTCACAGTCTAAACTGCATATGCAAATAATTCTGTGCGACATTTTCACTTATGCTGTGTTTAGCTTGGCGGCATTTTCACATTTTTGAATAGTTTTCACAAAATTGGAAAGTGCTCCGGTACAGAAACAGCCTAAACGCACTTGGGTAAACATTTGCACCAGAATGGCGCTGAGACTGTGCTTAGCCTGGGTCATTTTTTGAAATTGAAAAGATTTAATAAGCAAAACAAGCAGAAAGTTGATTGATTTATGATTTACATTTGATTTGCTCAGATATAACAAGATAGTAGGTAAAAATAATGAAAGTTACAGTATTTGTAATAGTATATTTGAAAACGTTTAAAATTTCTCGAATATTTCGTTACGGTACGGGAAATTCCAGCAATTTGCCCTAAGGCACGATGCCATACACTTTCAACTATTTTCCATATCCATTTCTCGTATTTCCTTTCCTATCCATCAAAGTCACCTCGGATGCTCCGATTCGACACAGGTAGCCCCCTTGTGGCCCCTCAACAATTTTTTGTTCTTGAGCAATCTCATTAATACTTCTCATCTTTTTCAATAATCATCTTTTTCCACGATTAATTTCTTCAAATTAAAATAAATAATGAGCGACGATTTATAAAAGTTGAAATTGTTTAAGAGCAGCACATCTGTCTATATATATATATATATATATATATATATATATATATATATATATACGAGTATAGTTGGTCGACAAAAAACCATGTGTGGTATTTTTTCGAAGATAAATTGGGATAGTTGTAAATATGAGGAGATTAGATGGTTGGAAATATTTTATATAATTTATAAATATATATATACACATATACATATATGTAGATAAATAATAAGTAATTAATTCTGTTTGTTTCAGATAACAAAATTAAAAATCGACAGTAATCCGTTTGCTAAAGGATTTCGAGATTCGAGCCGTTTATCAGAATTTGAAAGGTAAGAAATTAATATTAATAATATATATATAAATATATATATATATATATATATAAAATATACTAGATAACCCAAATGTTGTCCTGTAACCCACGTCTAAAATTTTTAAATATCCTATATTAATATTTACCGTTTACCTAAAAATAATAATTATTGTTTTTTAAATTACATTTCACATCAAAATGTATATACATTATATACATATTAAATTATTATTATTAATTAATATTTGGCTTTTAAACATCTTACTTATTTATTTTGGGCATTTTATGCGATTTATTCTATTTAATTTAGATACAAATTTATACCAAAACATACATTTTTATTACACCAAATATTTAAAAAAGCATTCATTTAAATTCTAAAAATATTCTCAAGTCATTTCTGCCTATTGGTGAGTAATCAAAATGCATTTTGTATCACCATGAAGAAATTTAGAGAGTCGACAAGTACTTGTGCGCCATTTATTTAAAAAAAAGTATGTTTTTGAGGAGCTCTTCAGGTCGCAATTTTTATAGGATGATGGTGAAATTGAGTCATATTGGGTTTCAATATGTCTGTAATGAGGCAAAATTATAAAATTTGTAATACATTTTATGCAAAGTGAGATGGAGCCTACTTTGTAAGAAAATGTACCCAAAAATCTAATTGTGTTTTGAGGAACTCGTCAGGTGGTGCTGTTTGCACTACTGCACTGGCAATGTGGGAAAATATTTTTTAATACGACATGAAAAAATTATAATACATCCCGTTTTTTCAATTTTTTTATTTATTTCTACAATATTGCACATACATCCCAGTACTTTATAATCACATACATTCTAGAAAATTTCCTTAACAAACTTCAGAAAGATTTATCAAAATCCGAATAATCGTATAGAAGGAGTATACAGTTAGTGCTTGTAATTTAATATCAACTTTACATAATAGTAATAAAGCTCAAATGGATTCTACATTTTAGTTAGAAAATGTTCGTATGTGAAAAAGAAAAGGGCTGTTTTTAGGATTTTCCCGGCAATTATTCGATTTTTTCTTGACGTAAGAACCATCCTTGGACTTGAACGAACATTTAAAAAAAAGAATTGGCCAAATCGGTCCAGGCTATGTTGAGTTATACGCTTACCAACACATTTTGCGATTCATTTTTATATATAATATATATTTAATTTTTTATTTATTTATTTATTTATAACAATGTATGTTAGTATAGAACTTAGTGGTGGTGGTGCATGGTGCATAGATTAGCAGAATGGTGACAGCCTTTCGGAGTTAGTCGCTCATAAAATTGTCATTCGGGACATAAATCCAACTTAATTAATGTCCAACACGAATTTATTGCCCACCATGAACAGACACAAGAACACACTCACACAAAACATACACGAATCGCACGAATTTATTTATAAACTCAAAAACGACAGAGACACATGAAAACAAATTGAAAAAATAATACTTGCTTGATTAGTATTTATTCGAAAGAAATTTGTTGGTAGTAAACTAAATTCTTAATATATGGTTAGTAGCACTATTATTTATTTATTCCTCTTTTTTCTAATTTTGCATGGTTTTTCTGAAACTTACTTTTGGTTTCTTGTGTTTTCCCTTTTCTTGCAAAACATCCATTCACCTGCACATTTCTTTGCACTTTCAGTCCTTGTATTTTACCTCTAATGACCTAGTGCACATGGCATTTTTTTATTATTACTCAGTTTACATTTATAAATTTATACCCAGTCCAGCCCAGTTTCCTACAAATTATGATTTTTTGGTGAATTTTATAAAATTCTCGTTCCAGAGAAACTATGGAATCAATGTTGGCCGAGCAACATTATTTGCGACATCCAGCTCTGAGGTCTTTTCCAGATTTCGATCTGACCAATCAGAACGTAAGTGAAAATTTTGTCCATATATGTATATTAGGGTGGTCCTTAATATGGACATTTTCGAATTTCCTTGCTCCCAAGAGCTCAAATGGTTCCAAATTGATAAAAAACAATTCTCTGAAAGTTTTAGCTCTTAATATTAACTTTTAGATAGTGCGCAATACAATCAAACTTCGTATGAAAATAGCATGGAAAAAATTTTGAAAATTAAAAAAAAAATTTAGGTATAACTTAGCGACAAATGAATTAAACGTGAAAATTCGTGTCATTTTTTATTGAAAACTCGACGCTCTGCAAAATGTTTGAACATTTTTTCATGCTATGTCCATACAACTTTGATTGCATTGCGCTCCATCTAAAAGGCAATATTACGAGCTAAAACTTTCAGAGAAATCTGTTTTATCAATTTGGAACCATTTGAGCCCTTGGGAGCAAGGAAATTCAAAAATGTCCATATTAAAGACCACCCTAATGTATATATTTATAATTATTTTCCAGTTGACCCTGGAAGAAAGAGCCCTTCTAGCAGCCCGTTCTCAACTTTTCCTTCGCGCGTACACTTACCCACCACCATCTCTCGGACCACAGTTTTACAACCCCTGGAATAACCCATATCTACAATTTATGAACACCATGAACAACATAAACCAATTGCAAAATATGAACCTACCAGGGTTGACAAAATTTCCAAATTTGGATTTGGAGATGTATGAAAGAATTCTGAGCGGTGGTAGTAGGAGTTATGATGATGGTAGAAGATTTTTGGGGGTTGGACGAGAGTTTGCAGTTAGGGGTAGACAAAATCTTGATGGTGCTGGGAGAAAAATTTTCTGATACCAGTAGTGAGCCAAGTGGCTTTAAAATAAGTCTACACGTTTTGATTCTTTAGAAGTTGATTCTGATATCAGGAATAAAGCCCGAAATGAACAACAGTTCAGAAATAATCTGGAACCTTCATTTGTCCACGATGAGTAATTTGCCTAAAACAAACATTTTGTGCGAGACCTTTAAATCCAACAAGGATCTTACAAGTTCTCGTTTTTATACCAAAACTATACATTCTAAACTTTGGGATCTAATTGTCAAAGCACGTCTAAAAATCAATTCCAAAACATACAACAAATCCAGTTGGATCTTCAATTGTCGATGACGATGAATTGGCTAAAACCAAGGATATGAATTTCATTTATGCAAGTTCTAATTTGCCAGATCATGAAATTAGAACCAAAATTCGAGACAATCAATATCCAAGATCATCTTTTAGGTACACAAGAGCCCGGGATGATGATTTGACTAAAACAGGTCATCATGACGAGGCTGATATTAATTTTAAAGAGTGTGCAAATCCTTATTTTGATGACAGAAATGCAAGTTTTAATCGTTTGGAACCAAATAGAGATAGCAGGATCAAAATCAGACCTCAGAAAGTTATTAGGACGTCAATGACAGTACCAAAATACATCTTCATGATGAAGCTCAGGATTTTAGTAACTCCCAATTTTATCACAAAAGTCCTAGATTTTCAAGAGTAGCTCCTGAAAATTATAGCAAAAACCTAGAAGTAAAGGTCTCTGAAAATATTAGAATTAGTCATTGTAATAATATTGATCCAGAATTAGATGTGCATCCAATGTAAGCTCTAATAGGTTTGGACAAATTTCTAAAGTTGAATTAGGAAGTCCAAATTTATCAGAGCCAAATTATAGCAAAATTCGTCTGCAAGAAATACGAAAAAATAAATTTGCATCTAAATTAGATATTGGTGATTATAGAATAAACTATTCTGATACAAGTCCTAATAAATTTGGTCACACTTCTGATGATGACTACTCAGGAAGTGGGTAAAATATGTTCTAATAATTTGAGTATCAATCGAAACTTTTCACCAATAATTTAGAACAAAATGATTCTATAATAATACCATGTCCTGAAAATGATCCTAGACCCAAAATTTGTCCCGATCAAACCAATTTTGGTCACGTGACTTCTGAACCAATGTTTAGGACTAACCTGGTACCTATTAGGGCAACTATAAATTTTAATGATAGAACTGAAATTAAGACCAAAATGAGGGATTTGATTAACAAGGACCAAGATAATCAGAACAAAAATCAAAAATTGAATACTAGTATAAAAAATGATATAAAAATGATGGAAAATTTTAAAACCAGTACAACTGAACTTGACTTCAGATCAAATTTGGATACAAAAATTGAGGTTAAGGATGAATTTCAAAGTAATGATGATTTTATTAAAAATACAAGGCCTATTTCAGGTTCTAATATTATCCTGGATAATATAAATATAAAATGATCCTGATTTTTATTGTGATTGGAACGTGATGAAAACATTTGATTGATTTTAATAATTTAAATATTTATTTGACAAATTGTATAGTTATTGATATAATTTATTGTAAAACATATTTTGTACATACACGTTGCAAATATAAATAAATAAATAATAAATTTTGCACTTTTATTCTAATTTTTGCACAATTTTGCAACTGTCAAGATGTAAAACGATGACTTCAGGTGATATATTAATATTTTTACATCTAAATTCCATTTAAATTTATTATATTTAAAGTTTTAATAACAAACTGTTTTTTTATTTATAACTGCATCTACTTTATGCATTTTTATTATTATTAATAATATTTAAACATTATATTTACATCTGTCATTTAAATTATAATTATTTGTTTACTTCTACCAAAGGATTCTGTCGAACTAGTTTTGCGACAAATGCCACTAGTGTTGTTGTTCTTCATAAATACCTTTCATATCCTTTTATTTAGTGTTAGATCTGTCATCGGTGTATTTTTGTGACGTGATTAATAAAAATAGGTAAGAAAATTATAATTTTATATGATTTTAATTAAATCTTATTAGAATTGCGTTATACACAAGCTTGATAATCGAAAATTGTTAGTAACAATATAAAATTGTTATTAATAAATAAACTACCCAACATAATCTCTAAAGTTTGGCGGGCATTTTATATACATAAATGCCACATGGTTCATTTTCAATATTTACTTCATTTTTAAATCGGTTTTAAATACCTACATATATGAGAAATTTATAATTTTGAATAAATGTTATTGCAAGTTTTAAAGTATTAACAATTTATTACATTATTTATCAAAACATATACATTTTTTCCTTAATCACTATATTGAATATAATAACATTAATACGTATATCAAAATGTCGAGTCTGTTTTTAAGAATATTAGAAATTGAATACAATTTTAATAAAATAGCCTCATACAAATACCAAATTTATATATTAAAAACCATATGCTTTTTCATTAAATTATTATAATAACTATAGTAAATAATAACTAACTACTTAATGTAATAAATGAACTCATAAGAAAATAATCATATCGTTATTCATTATTTAAGAATTTTATATCTTATAAAATTAGTAACATTAATTTTAAACAAACTTATGGATTTTATTGTTTAATTCAATAATATGTTTAATTTTAAAACTAACTTAATAATTTCATAGTCGTATTTGTATGCTTTGTTCATATATAACTTTTTTTTAAAGAAATAACTAATATTGACTGAAACTATTCTAAATTATAATTTAATTGCAAGCAGCCATTAAGTGAAAAAATAACATTTTAATATGACGATTAAAATAATTTTATTGAATTTTACAATATTTTCCTGAATTTCAAATTAATATTTATTGAATTTTTCAAAAATAATAAATTTTACTAACTTTCAATAATTAAAGTTGAACTAGATTTGTTTTTATTCATTTTGTTAAATATTTCTCAATATTGTTAATAATTAATATTTATCATTTTTCTAAATAGTGATGTTGTGTGACTAGTGTTTTGCAGTGAAGTGTGTCGTGGCCTCCTGGACTATGCTGGTTGCTGACAATGGTAGGAAGCATGCAAAATATATTTTATTATATACAGTAGAACTCCAATTATCTGAACTCCGACTATCCAAACTCCAATTATCCGAACTTCGACTATCCGAATCGCCGATTATCCGAATCACTTTCAGAAAAAAAAATGTCCAAAAAAAGTCTAAGTGCGCTATTATTCTTCCACCAGCAAAGCCAGTGTAGGCACATTGTTTGTTTTTGATTTGACGGAGATGTTTACAAAACAATGATTTTTATTTCTAAACTTGTACATAAGTACATTTTATTTATATTTAAAACATGTGAAAATGTCATGTTTCTTTTCATTTAATTCCATAAAAAAATAGTGCAATATCTAAACGTAACTTTTTTTCTCTCCAATGGCAATTTTTAAAAAAAACTCCGATTATCCGAATATTTGATTATCCGAATGGTCCCGGTCCCCATTAATTCGGATAATTGGAGTTCTACTGTAATACAAATAAATAAATAATAAATATATATATATATATATATATATATATATTTAATTAGTCTTGATTTGATATTATATCAATACAAATAGTATGAGTTTTTTAGAAATTTATTTAAAATCCGTACGTTTCGGCTAGCATCTTAGCCTTCATTCGGTGGCCTTGAATATAACTACAAAAATTAAATCTATAAAAATATATAAGAAATTAAAAAAACAATAATAATAATAAAAAAACACGTACATATTTTGTATCGTAATATAACAGATCAGAACATTTATCTTTCGATGGTATGGTTTTTTTCTGAAATTCTTACATATTATTCATTTTGATTGAATTTTTATAGTTATATTGATTTTTTTATAGTTAAATGAAGATTAATATTATAATCTATGCATATTTTTATAAATAGATTTTTTTGTTTTCTATTAAACGTATATTGTGCGAAAATTTTGACAAGATTATTCTAAACCGAATCCCTAAGGAAAAAAAGTCGTAAATTCAAATTATCCTTACATAAACAAGTTTTCTCATAGTTTGGAAAAACATTGTATCATCCCCTTGCAAATATATATATATATATATATATATCCATTTATATGATACATTTCTACGTAATCGATACGATTGGGAAAAAATGCGGTTTTTATTTTGTGGGTTTGACTTGAAATAAGAATGACATTAGAATCAGTCAAACTGGTGGCCGACGGGGCCCCCAGGGACATACACGGTCAGGATAAATTGTAAGGGGGCTCCTTGATAACATTATTACTTACATTGTAAATATATATGTATGTATATATATATATATATATATATATATATATATAAATTAACAAAGGCTAATAATCGGGCATAGCATCAATAAAAATAGTATGAGAGTTTTTAGTAATTTATTTAAAATCCCTACGTTTCGGCTAGCATCTTAACCATCATTCAGTGGCAATAGTGGTATCCTAATATAACATATGAAAACAAAACAGATGATAAAACATGAATAGCTTAACGAGTTATCAGTTATCGAAACTATGTATTTACTATTTGGAGTCTAAGATAGAAATTTCTACATTTCTGGAAGCAAAGAAATTCGAAATATCCATATTAACCAGACCACCCTATATCGTGCAAACTTGTTCAAA